TCATCACCACCAGACCAGCACTACAGGAAAAGATGAAGGGTCTTCTTTAAGAAGAAGCTAATGAACAAAAGAATCTGACGAACTAAATAGATCCAGAGACATTGAAGCAGGCAACAAACAATCATATTTCAGAGGGAAGAGAGAAGGGGGTGGAGGGTGGGAAGAGATTAACCAAAGAAGTTATATGCATATATGCATAACCCATGAACACAGTCAATAACGGGGTGAAAGCCTGGGGAGGGGGTGGGAGCAAAGTGGAGGGGTTCAATTGGGGGGGGGATGGGACACCTGTACTACTCTCAACAATAAAGATAAATTTAGGAAAAGAGAGAGGGAGAGAGAGAGAGGAATCAGAATATCTGCTGAATGAACGAACTGAATGCTGAAATGTCCTTGCTCTAAAATTAAGACACTAAGGGTCAAGGGGAAGCGGGGACCCCTCACCTCAAGTCCCACAGCTAGTAAGGGCTGGAGGGAGGACTAGATCCCAGGTCTCCCCAGTTTCCGCTCTAAGGGAGTGTCAGTCTCACTAACTCAAGGGCTGGAGTTTGTGCTCCTCAAGACCTGAGCCCGGTCTCTGCTGGAGCCTGCCCAGAAACAGGGATGGCCTGGTGTCTCATCTTTTTTACTCCCCACCCTCAATGCTGGCTTTTGCCCAACCTAACTCCCTAGTCCTGTGCCCCTCATAAGAAACCTATCACTGGAAGAAATGAGGGTGGGCAGGAAACCCCAGCTCTAGTGGCTGCTCTGCCTCTGACTTGCTGTGTGACCCGGAGCAAGTGCCTTCCCCTCTCTAGATCCCTGAAAGCCCACTGTAAGGTGCGACCAGCAGCTGCTGGATGAAGCCAGGCTGGCTTTACCAAGTCCTCCCAGCAACCCTCACATACCGCAGGTGCTCAATAAACAGTGAATGCCAAATGACCCAGGAACAAATGCTAGACTACCTGGGAGGGCTGGGAAAGCCAGGGGTCTGTGGTTTGGGGAAGAGAGCAAAGCAAAGTCATCCAGCTGAATGAAGGGAGAGTTCAGCTTGCACAGGGTGGCTGTGTTTGAGACTGCTGGGAGCAGTCCGATTATGTCAGGAAATGGGACATTCGCGCTGTCTCAAAGGCAGGTAGGGTGAAAGCAAACCCCTCAGTGTCTCCTTACAAACACTGGAGTCCCTGGCATCCCAGTGCAGTTTCATGTGCTCAGCCTCAAACAAAAAGGTGTGAGGGTGTGAGTTATTTGCCACCACTGATTACCCCTCCTACTCTTACCATTTGTGGGCAATGAGGCAGCAGCTGCCTGGAGCTCCTAGCCACCCAGGGACAGCTACAAGCCCAGCACCTTCTCAGGGCTCGGATGGACCGACAGAGTCGCCCACCTCCCAGGGCTGCCCTTGTCCGAACCAGACCCCCTGGGTTCGGGCCGACGGGAACTTAAAGTGGAGGGGTCGTGAGATCGGGCCCAGGTTCGAAAGTTTCCTCCACTGCTCACTAACAATTCATAAGCTCAGGTCCCTTGAACCTCAGTTTCCTTGTCGATGATGAGAAGCCACAAACCGTACACCCCACGTGCAGCCCGAGGGCGGAGCTAAGGCCTTGCACGCGCACCTTCTCCTTTCCTTCCCCTGCCGCCCGGCGAGAGCTGGCGCTTCCAACATTGTTGCAATTTTACAAAAGAGCAAGTCGAGGCTCAGGGAAGTTACGCCCCAGGTCACTGAGCCGGCGGGCGGTGCAGCCGCGCAGGACTCGCCCCCAGCTCCGCAGGGCTCTCCCCACAGGCCCTCAGACCCCGCCGGAGCAGGGCCCGCCCCGCCAG